GACCAGTTATACATTTCTGTAGTATTTCTATTTGCATTTCACTTACATTCACTGAGAACCATAGAAAAACAGACCTAGAGAAATGAGACCCTTAAATCTATATCTGAAGTAGACCACACTTATTTTTTTTTTTTTAACTGGGCACAGCAGTAGGCAGTTTTCTGACTCCAGAAGTTAGGATTTAAACTGGTAGGGAATGGAGACTGCTTACCAGAATGTGGCATAGGAACAGGATCCCTCCATTCTCCTCAATGTAAGGTCTCTTTGAGGTTGTTCTTCATATACAATGTCCAGCTATTGCATCTGTAAATTATCATTTTTCATATTAGACATGATTCAAAATTTTTCAAAAGTTTTTATCTTTTAAAATTATCCCTGTTTTTGTTTTTGGCATCCTTCTTCCGTATTTCTTTTGGTTCCCCCGTCCCACCATACTAAAAGTAGTGTTTTTCTCAGTTGCTGCAGATTGGCAAGCTTTTCCACATCAGGCAAGACAAAACTCTACAAAATCATTCTTTTTCATAGATAGGAATCAATCAAAAATTGCCAGTCAGTGACTTGTTTCAATAAAATGAATCAGAGCAAAAGTTAATTTTGTTTTATTAGCTAATCTAATGTTAATTATTTGTGGTCTAAAATGCTCTTATTTGCAGCTCACTGCTTTCAGCCATTAACAGTGCTTCTTAGAGCTTCAGTGCCAAACTCTCTCTTACTCAGTGTTTGCTTAACACAATAGTGACACCCAATGGCTTATTGGATACTTTTTCTTTTCCTGGTACCACAGGATTAAAATGCAAACCAAAGTACACTGTGAAAAATACTTTCAGTACTTCATCTTGTTGTGCTTCAGTAAAGTATCACTGTGAATACTAAGCTGCATTATCAGGTACTATGTTCCTGTAGTATATTGGATTATTGAAAAAATACAATAAAAGAGCACAGAATTTTCTAGCAGCTTACAGCATGATCTGCATGCTGAGAAAAGTCAGGCATTAAGACTTACTATTGCACTTAATCAGCTCAAAGCCTGACTATAAGTTCCCTAATACTGGAAAGTCGTGCGATCTGCAGTTTCTGAACAAACGGAGAGTACGCTACATGCCATATACTAGTCTGACCCTCACTCACTGTTTAACCCATGGTCACAGAAAAATTTGCTCTATTCAAGACAAGAGAGTGGATTTAATGCCAGGTTGTGTGCTTTCTCTGATTTATCTCACCTTAATAAAGTTAATGTTTAGAAGATTTATTTTGGATCCTTGACTTACAGTGAAAATGCTTTTGGTCCCAGTCCTACTCAGTTACAGTGGAAGAGTGTAAACTTCCCAGAATGGACATCCCTACAAGCCCCGGAAGCTGTGGCTTTGCTGTGTATTAGACCTGCTTTTCCAAAAGGAGGGCGGACATGGGTGGAGCTCAGAGTAGCAGCAGATGCTCCCACCTCACTAAGCAAATTACAAAAGAAAACATTTGTCTGCAAATGCCTTTGTGTGCACTCCTCACTTGCACTCAAACTGCTCTACTTTCCTCCCTTTCCTTGTCCTGCTTCTGGTAAAATGAGAAAGACTGGTTATAGCTGGGAGTCTAGTGCAGAATGAAAAATGGCACTATGTTACTTACCTACAGTCTGATTCTGTGGAGTTGCTAGGCTTTTTCATTTTTCGTTCATGTGAACAGAAGGCATTTCACGTATCACTGGTACATGCACATACCCTGTAACGTAGGGTGCTGCCCTGACTGAAGGCAGTAACTGGACTTCTTTGGACTTGATAAATAATGAATTCACTCTAATATCACGAACCATTTTTTTTTCTATTTCCAATTAAGGATCCTTTAAAAATTGTGCTTTCAAACAAATAAGTGCTCAGGCACTCTAAAAATCAGGTGGTCTTCAGTGTCTTAGGCAGCCGAAAAAAGTAATTCCAAATAACCTTGGCCATTGCCTTTTCCAAACAGTATTAAATGCTTTACTGCATGATTCTTAAGTATTTGCAGTCTTAGTCTTAGGAAGCACACTTAATTAAAAACAATATAGTCTTGTTTTGTCAAAAGTAAATTTCTTACTGCAGGTCAAGCCCAGGATACGCTAAAATAACAGGCCGTAGTCTTGGCATGGGTAGTTCCTGACCTAGACAATTAACAAGGCATTGAAATCCTAAAGGAATTTATTGGCATCAGATGGCAGAGTAGGTATAATATTCTGTTCATTTTAACTGAGCTAATTTGTAATTTCCACATGAGCATGACTACCTTCATCCTCTTTATTTGTACAGCTGTCCTGAGACTGTAATGCTGTGGTAGTCACATTGGATGGGCACAAATAATAGATGTGATAATAGATGTTATGACATGGTATCAGTTTGGTCTTAACAAAGCTCCCAGTCTTTGAGCTGAAAGAAAGGGAGACAATCCACCAGCTTCACATGGCATGCTAAAGTTGTATCAGCTGTCAAACCTATTGTGAATTCTGGATTCAGTGACTCTGTTTTATGACTTCACTAGCTCCTACTGAAGACACAGACATGGAGTCAATTAAATTCACAGGGTAGCAAGTAATGAAGACATTTTATCAGCCTAAAGGACTACATGTCCTGGAAGTGTTTATTGGTTAATTATGATGGGAAAATACCGTAGAATTCATACAGTGTCTCAGCTTTTTTCTGAGTACTATCAAAATCATATTTCTTAACTGTCCAAAGGACATAACTTGATCTTAAAATTTTCTTTTTCAACTCTTGAATGCAGAGCATATATGCTATGAATTAAAAAATATTAAAGTTGCTGCAGAAACTTCTTATCAGCAAAATGCATTGTTAAGAGAAAGACATTAGAGCATTAGTGAGAAATATCTTATGCCTTTTTTTTTCCAGCTGATGATTGTTGCATTTTGCATGGTAACAGTTTTTAAAAAAAAGTGTCACCTCCAGTAGTGAATGGTTCAAGCAGTTGTATTTTACGATGTGATTAGTCTCAGACATTTAACTTTTCTTATACTCAAAATTATGCTTCAATTAAAATGGTTGTCCCGTATTTAAAGGGTGTAATAGCTGCTTTACGAGTACTTAAATTAATAAATTCGGTTTTACGACAGCGGATGTGCAGGGCACTGCCAATAGGCAGGCTACAATTGTTCATGCAAGCAAATACTCAGATTAAACACCCAGTATCCTAATTGTCCATTCATTGTTAACAAGGATGCAGAATCAGCAGATTTTACTACCAGTAGCCCTTAATTTGCATGATATTTTGCACTGCTCAAGTTATGGTATCAAGAAAATTGTAACTTGCTGAAGACAACATGCTGATTCTGCCCTGGAATTTTTGCCAGTAACTTCACTGGAAGCAGGATCAAGGTTTAAGTGAGAGGAGCCAGTGAAGACAGGTGGAACATGAGTTGTATGAGGGTACTTTTTCAGGTAATCCTTATTTGTAAGAGCAGGACTTCTTTTCCTAGCCTCTGGACGAAATTCCTGTTCATAGCTTCAGGGCCAGCGGCGATCTAGTCCTGCTTCCCGTACAGCATAAGCCTATAGTATGTTCCTGTACCAAGCATGTAATACGTTATATTATCATTTCTGTTTCTTTGCTGATTTGATTATATGATGCATACCATAGATTTCTTCACTTTATGTTAAACTGTCAAATCACACTGATTTTATTGACATACCTTAAAAGACAAATAGAGAATAAATGAAAAAGAGGTTTTAGGTCCTTGCTTGCAATTCACAATATAAGATTTTGTTCAGACAGATTCATTCCATTGAAACGTTTATACCGAGAAGCAAGCAATTCAGTTCTGTTGCTTCAACATAATTTGACTCCTGAAGCTAACGTATCTGTTTAATAATCACCTTAGATTTCTGACATTTTTTCTTCAGTCCATTCATAGAACATTTCTGTGAATGGAGGTTGTATTGAAATACCCTTTACTGCCCTCAAGTCGTCTTAGAGCCGTATGCTTTTCTCGGGAATGCATGGGGCTCCATTTTGCTCGCTTTTTTAATAATGTGGTATAATTGATAGACTAATTATGAAAAGAAAGCAAAACATTCTTCAAAATATACACATTATAGCTAAACAAATACAATTATATAAAATGAAAAAAATTAGTAAAAGAAATAAAGACTTGTAAATATGTAGATTTAGTAGGGTGAAAGTGTAGACAGCTCATGTGAAGTTTGATTAGTTGTTTATCAGCACACACCAAAAACTGCAACCAATTGAAAATAACTCCACACCAATGCTATAGACTGAAAAATCCAGTTGGCATGGGAAGTATTTTTACTTCAGGAGAATTTATATTACCTTGGAAAAGTTAGTAGAAATACATGGAGATGGTCTGTATGGTACTCTTGGTACAGGTACTCAATTTAGTGCTATTTATAGATAAATTACATTCAGTAACCTCCCAAACCATTTTAACACAATCTATTAAAATTGATACTTTGTGTAAATATGTCGGCTAATAACTGTAATTTTTTGTCTGCAGGAAACTTCACAACTTTTAAATAAAGGATTAAAATCATAGTGAAGATTAGAAGATATGTAAACTAGAAAAACTCAAGCTAATTAGCATATAGTGTGAGTTGGAGAGGGAACTGCTCTAATTGTGTACTAAGTCCCTTCGTCTAAAATGAGCCATCACTTCTCCAGTGGCAAAAATAATGATGTTCAATGGAGTCTTATGCTTGCAAAAGGTAATACTTACATTGGTAGGGCCAGAAAGACTTGCAGTTTATCCCAGGCGTCTCAGGGAGGTGGTGCTGGAGACCTGATTAATGTGAAAATAAATGATCACCTTGAACAAGTTGTTAAATTAGAAGGTCGTGTTTGTATAGCATATAATACATGGAGCAGATCTGCAGTCTGTACAGCAAGCTGTTTTGAATCATTAGTATGTATACATTGTAAGCCTTGTTTTATCCATACAGTCACCTCTGGAATGCTGCCTGCTGTGAGGTTTGCAGCAGTAGTCATTCACTTCTTTGGACTCTTTTCAGGGTCAGCCTGGTGAGCTGGGAGCTCAAGGTCCGATTGGGTCCTTGGGATCTACAGGACCAGCTGGTCTGCCAGGGGAAAAAGGACAGAGAGGTGAGAATGGACAGCCTGGGCCAGCTGGAGAAAAAGGTGATAAGGTAGGAAACACCATAGACAGCTCTTGTAGGTGTAATATAATGTGTAATGTTAAATATTGGCAAGTGAAACAGAACCTGAATGACCAAAAAGCATTTGACAGACTCTACTCTTGCTCACACAAAATACACACTGAAATTAATTACAGCTTTCTTTGAAAAAAAAATGTTTCAGGGGATTTTTGCTGTGGATTGCAAAATTAGAATTGTCAGAAAACGTAAAATAAAATGAAACAGACCCAGTCTCTGTTATGTCCTATGTCATCCTCCTTAACCTCAAAGAAGGCAATGGGAGGAATGTGGAGCTGGAGAAAGAGTATGGTGCTGTACAAAACTGCTGTACACTAAACAGAATTCTGTTACCACTTACAGAGTATAAATTGCAGTTCAGGTTCATATCTTTCATAGCTATACAGTCCCTGTGCTTGGCTCTTGATACTTTATACTTGTTTTAATGGTCTAATTTCACTGATCTCAGTGGATGACTGAAATCACTAATGTCAGTATCTAGCACACCTGAAGTGTAAGCCCTGTGAACAGAAATTGTGCTGCTGGTATTATCAAAACAGGAGCAGAGTTGTGAACTTAGATACAGAATTATTAGGTTATAGACTACTTCCCTTTCTCTGTCATTTTATAACCTTTGGAGAATGAATATGAGAGTTAGACATTTGTCCTGTACTGTACCATGTTACACAGGTACCTATGGGCACTAGTCTCCTGCTAAGCCCATATAACTTTTTTCAGATATTTATTTCTAACAATTATGGCTTTTGATTCATATTTCAAATAAGACTCTCTCTTGTTTATTGATGTATAGTATCACATATTCTTGTTTTTCATTCTTTTTAAGAGTTAATGACCCCAGCCACTTTGTTTTTTCATGTCACCTGTTTTTAGGGGCCAACTGGAGTCCCAGGATTTCCTGGTTTAGATGGTGTTCCTGTACGTATTGAATGAATATTGCTTTATAAAGATTACAGTTGCTTTAAAGTCATAGCAAGTCCTCTAATAGAATAAAACATTCAATAAATTGTTTGTTTTTATACCTATTGATATCGTGCTTTGCAAAAATGTAAAATAGCCAGGTGAATTTCAACTGTGTTTACTATTGATAACAAATGCCACAAAATCGCAATGATTTAAGTACATAATTTTCATGCAGGAGTGGGGCAGTGAAGGTAGAAACTAGTCCATGTCCATGCACCATGTGTCAGTGCTAGGATTAAAAACTATGAGTTTATTTTCTCAGGCTCTGTAGCAGGCTGTAGTCTGCTTGCTGCATTCTTAAGATCTCTGAAAGTATCTCAAATGATGTACTGTTTTCTGTTCAAACGTTCTGATTTTTGCTTGTAGTCCTTTTGCAGGAGAAAAAAAGCAACCACTGAGCCCAGTAGTTTTAACCTGAATAAGGACTGAAGAAGTTAAAGGGAGCCTAAATATATCTTTATAAGCATGTGATTATATGTTTTTCTCAATGTCATCTTCAGTGTGGAAATGGATGTGGTAAAAGAAAGATAATATATCTTAGATACAATATTTTGGAAAATGCTGTTTATTATAACGGAATTCTTATGCTGTTACTAGTTTCATATGGATCAAACAAAGTTCAAATGTTGAATTTTGAAAGTGAAAACAGAACCAGAAACTGAGTGGGTGTCTTAGCATCTGTTTGTCAGCTGTCCACACTTGACAATGGGACAGTTGCCAGAATGTTTGTATAATGTAGAAGTCACAAGGCCAAAATTAAGCACAAAAAATGAAGTGCTCCCAAGAAATGTATATTCTTATTATGAAAAATGTTAACTAAAAAAAAGTGTCCATGAATTGGAATGTAGAATCTTAAAGATGAGAAGGTAAAATTTGAAAAGAAACATTTCAGGCAAATGGCCAGGATACTTTCCTGATGATTTTTCAGAACCAAAACAAAAAAAAAACAAAAAAAAACCAGAGGGGGGGGTCAAAATTATTGATTGTTCCATACAAAAATGTTTAATTCTATGAAAATAATTTTTCCTCCCATGGAAAGATCATTCCAAGGGAAATCTCACTATTTCTATTGCCTAGTGTGTCTGGACATTGGTTAGTTCTTGCTAGGTTAGAAAATCACTTCCTCATTTCTTGAATATATAGTCAATCTCTGTGATTACTGTATGCTTGAGTCAAGCTGCATCCTGTTTTTCCTTGGTTTATCCTATCAATTAAAAAATATGAGGCTGCTTGAGATGGCTTTTACATGTTTCTTCAGCTTTTCTTTAGAGCCACAAGAAAGATTAGTTAGAGAGCTAGAATCTGCTTTCTCTGAAAAGACAGAACATTACTTTTTGATTCAAGTGACATGTCAGTCTGGCCCTCTTAACCAGTGCTGTCCCTGTTATATTTGCTGTGCATCACAGAACAAGATACAAAATTCTCCTATAATTTGATATACATGAAGAAAATTCTATTGATCACAATAGAAAACATTTCTAATGCAAAGAGCAGTGTGAGATGTCCTCTGTTTCAGATCTGAGATATTTGTTTCTGAACTGTTCTGTTAATTTTAAAAGTAATTTCCTATTTATCATGGTGTATCTCTAATAAATATTAAACTGTGTTTCAGGGATTACCAGGAAGTGAAGGACCCAGGGGCAGGCCTGGTTTAGATGGCTGCAACGGCTCAAGAGGCGATCCTGGATTTCCAGGCGAAAATGGTTATATTGGACCAAGAGGTCCTTACGTATGTGAAAGGCGTTCCTACTGTCTATGAATACTGTATATGTATTCATGTATATATTTACGTATATATATATATGTATAATATATATATACATATATATTTCCCCTCCCAGCTAACAGCTCTTAAAATGAAAGGGGTTTTAGACTATGGCACTGGCTTTACACTGCACAGTGAATTTCCAGGCATTCTTACTAAGGTTAATGGGAGTGAAGTACACTTGGTGCCTTAACAGATTGTGTTTAAGCTTGAATGTGAAATAAGTTCCTATATCCTTAAAGTATATGTGTCTACCTTGAGAATTAAATTCTGCTTTGTTTCCCCACGTGTGGTGTGGTACGTAACCTCACGAAAGCTAATACCACTTCGTGAAAGTACAGCTGAGAAGGAGTAACTTGAAACCATCATACCATTTATCAATACTTGAAATTTCTTAAAAGCTTTAATAGTAGGGACATACCTGAGATGAAGCTTCCAGTAAGTGGAAGCTTCAACAAGCCCAAGTCCTGTAACACTTGAAGATTTTTAACAGTTGATCACACAAGTGTATTAGTAGATCTCTTCCAAAATCATGCTCTTACGGTTTCATGTGCCACTTTTTACATACACTTATTCATGACTGCTCTGTGCACACCTAATCTTGCCTGGGTGTTTATCTGTTTTATCTATCATTTATCTGATGTTATCTATCATTTCAGTTAAAATGTTTAAAATTACCACTTTAATATTGTTTACTTTTGGTGTTATGATGGAAAGCATTTTAAAATTGTTTAAATAGTTGTGTTAGCAGTACTCTAATAATGAACATAAAACACAGATTCATGTCAGTAAGGGATATAAATTACTATAGCTTCAAAGAAAGTTTACTGAACAGATCTAGTCTCTAGTCTTTGACCTTTCATGGAAACCAGTTTTAGTTCTGAATTGTTAATAGCTGATTAGTTGGTCTAAGAGCTTCCCTGAAATTTTCTAAATAAAACAAAACCAACTGCAATTTCCATGGAAAGTCAAATGTGTTTAGTAGGAGCTAAATAAGATGCTGATTTGGCCATAGGGAATCAAAAAATGTGCAGTGGGTCCCAGAGTGAAAACATGTTATTAAAATACAGAAATTAGAAAAAAACATTCGGTTTCCATTTTGAACATGTAATAAATGCTATGAAACACACAACCTGATAAAAAACTTGGTAATAACCTCATTTGTTTTACCTCTCAAAGTAACCTGCTAACACTCAACATGGTAAAATGACTTCTGCTCAAACTCTTATTTTACCTGTATTTTCTTACTCATTATGGCTTTCAAAATAGAGTTTTGCCTTTTATAATTCACCAAATGACATAAGGGAAAAATGAGACATGGGACAAATTACAGCATAAATCTTTCCAATTCCAGGAGCATGCACTTTAGCAGGTCTAGAAAAGTATTTGCAACCTACAAAGAATGGGAGGCACAATAGGCATGTAGCCTTGGATATGCACACTAAAATTCCAGTGCAAATTAATTTAGCTACCCAGAAAACCAAGACATAGTAACCATATTTGCCTGTGTACAAGAAAGCTATTCCAACCTCTCTGTTCAGATTGCCTATTTTTAATTCAATTTGTTGCACTGCATACCAACTTGACTATAAAGCTAACATTTTTATGTTACTCTTATTTATAACGTCTTATATAATTTTATTTAACACTATGTATATATTCATCAGCTTTGATTGTTACCTTTTAGAATCTGTATAGTTACCTCACCAATAAATTGGAAAAGAAAGTAGTTTCTATTTGTAAGCCCTTACCTAAGTCATGTAGAATCTAGTAAAGATGTTTTATTACACCAGAGATCACATGTAGAATAACCAAAGACAAATGTAACTTTTGATGGGTTTAATGTGTTCCACAGCAGCTGTTGTTTGATCTGAAATCTGCATCCAGTCTACTGTAGCTATATCCAGCTGCAGGCACCTGTAAATTCTTATTTTTATTGTACCATTCCAGGGATAAGTACTTTCTCTGTTTCATTCTGACTTCAGGATTTGAGCAGCGAGTGTGTATGAGGAAACAAGTACAGTTTTAAAGTGGTTAAATTCTGTGAAAAACAGTATCCTGTTTTATTGAAATCAATAGTTAAGTGGTTATAGGCTTCAGTGAAATTATATCCAGTACATTTGGATTTCAAATGAGAAAGCATTAGAAATAACGTCTTAATATAGCTGTTCTTCAGATATGTACATATCACGCTCTTAACAGTCAATTGAGCATTACAATTACATTTTGCAAAAGCAATCATCTGTTCTTGCTAAGTCAGATTGAGGTTTTGAGGCTGTTAAGATTGGCGAAGGTTTATAAAGGACTCCACAGCAAGTACCATGGTAACTAAGTTTTTTAAAAAAACGGGGCCTTTAGGCATCAGATTTCTAATTTTTATAGGCTGCGAAACATATTTCCTAATAGATGGAAATGTTGAAGATTTTGCATGTAACAGAGTCCCTACTTTCAGCTTTATAAGTGTATGCAGAATCACACGGGATTCTTCTGAATCATAGTGTGAACTTTTGGAGAAGGCAGAGTGCTAATACTTAAAGCTACTGACTCACTGAAAGAAAAGGTATGCATATTGATATACTTGATACTAGAGGCAAGATTTGTGAAGACTGTAGAATACTGAAGTACGCAAGAGCTAAGGAGCATCTAACAGAGCAGGAGTCCAGAAGCTGCGAGGAGCTGTTTTGCTCAGCTGTACAGAAGGCAATTTTACTTTTAAGGGTCTTGTTAGATAAAAGAACTGCAAAATGCTCATACAGTGATGGTGGTTCTAGTGGATTACCTAGAGATGTATGGGCACCAGGAAAGCACAACCTGAGAAATTATCATTCAATCTCCATAGAAATGTAGGATATCAGTAAGTGGATCATGTTTTAAAAGATTTTTTTTTCTTTAAAGGGATATCCAGGGCAAAAAGGAGAAAAAGGAAATTCAGTGTATGTTTCATATTTTGGAAAAGGACCTCCAGTAAGTATCTGATTGTGGAAAAAAAATATATATATTCTAGGAAAACATGTATGGCAAATGTAATTGTTCTTTTAACTCCCGACTGTTTAATAAAGCTTGGTGCAAAAAAAAAAACATTAAAGGCAAATATGCAACTGGAAGAGATAGTTTGTCATCTTAATAGCTATAAAGCTAGAAAATACCCACAACAAAGCTTGTAATGATTCATTTGCTAAATGACTGTCATTACAGGGAGATAGAGGTGATCCTGGACCCCCCGGCATGCCCGTAAGTACAGTTAGTGGGTTCTATACATGCTTCTTGTCTTGAAGATCTTTAAATTTTTACTTCTTAGTACAGTAAAGAAATATTGAGGCTTCTCCCTGCTTGCCTTATATAGCAAAGTTCCAGAATAAAGTCTTAACAAACAGCAAGTCCCTGTAGTCTGCCCCCATGGCCGTGCTGGCCGAAAAGGAGTGGAAAGAGGCCATACCCATCTGCATTAACTCTCCATTGAGCAGTTGTCACCCTGGTACTCACAGTTTGCTGAATGTTTTCTCTGTTAAATGAAAGATATGTAGAGATGTGACACCTTCTTCAACAGTATCTGGTTGATCTCACGCTACCATATTTTGGCCCTAAAAATGTGAGAAGAAGCGAGTTTAATTTTGTTGCTGACTCATACTCAATAACTTTGGGTTCCTCTTCTTATGCCCTTCAAAAAAGTATTCACTGATGAACTGTATCAAGTCCCCACACTGTAGCACAATGACTGAAAGTATTTTTTCAATCCATTAATAACATAACTGTGCATTGTCCAGTGTCTGTACAGTATTATCAAGAAACTGGTGCTGAGCTGCTCTAGTGACAGTGAGGTTTCAGGCACAGTGTAAGCTTCAGGCCATGGGTGGAACACAGTGGCCAGCAGACTGAATTCAAGTGATGCAGGCATTTTGGAGGGACTAGTTTTGTGGAGAAAAGTGTAAACTCTTTGTATTTTCACAGAGGGACCTTTTGCCATCTTTTCCAGGGACCTAGAGGGTCAAGAGGTACAGTGGGCCCATCTGGATACCCAGGCCAACCAGGCTTGCCTGTAAGATCACCACACTTATACAGCCTTGAGTTTTCAGGAGATGCATAAATTCTGGTGTACCAATTTTAGAACTTGCCTTAATGTGAATTAAAGCCTAGATATAATTTTTGAGGCAGATGATAAAAAGAGATTTTTGCCTTACTGTATGAGTTTGGAGGTTCAGGAATTGGAGCATATGTTGTTCCTTCTCATGCCTGCATGAACATGTTTCATCCTGGCAGTCTCTGGTCATGGAGGAATGCTGCTAGGGCTCTCTCCTTATTCCCTTTCCCCAAGGCCACCTTGTGGAAAACAGGAAAGTGGGAAGGCAGAGTTCAGCCATCCTGAAAGCAGTGACCAGGTGAAGTAAATTGCAATTTGGAAAATTATGCCTCTAGGTGCTACTGGCAAGACGAGGTAATTTTCAGAGCAAAGCTGTCTCTAAATCAGACATATTAACTTGTCTTCATTCTCTTTTAAAGGGTATTCCAGGTTACCCTGGTTTGCCAGGTGAACAGGTAGGCCATGACTTTTCTTGAAGTTGTTAGTGAAATAATGGAGTAATTTATACAAGTATTTGAAATGTCCCTTATGGTTATTTGTTACCAAGTTTTTCAAAGGAGTTACTTGATTAAATTCTAATGTCAGAATTTTCTGATTATCTTCAAACTGTGTACATTTTTTGTTAATTAGGGAAATCCAGGTATTGGAGTGGACGGACAAAAGGGAGAGCCGGTAAGAAAACATTATTTTTAATGAATGAGGAGAATAGGAAGGGATTAAGATTGTCAACCTTGCTTATCTGGGAAGACAGTAGCAAGGCTAACAGATCTCAGTAGGAACTGTTTGTAATCTACAGGTATTAGTACAAGTACACGTGCAATGAGTACAGAAATAAGTAGTGCTGTAGTACAACTCCAGGAAACCATGCTTAGCCTCACTGAAACACTGCATGGAACAGAATGTTTCTCTGCTGTTCCTTTGGCTTTCACAGGGTGACATTGGACTTCCCGGGCCACCTGGGACACCACTATTAGTTGGACCTCCTGGAGCTCAGCTGTTCAAAGGAGAAAAGGTGTTAATTTGTCTTCTTTTTTAATTGTGCTCAACTTGGCAAGTACAATCCTGTGATGTACTTTTTGCAAGGATGCCACAGGACAAATCTTCCTTTCTGTAATAAACCATCAGCTTCAGCAGAAATCCTGTGGTTCAGGACCCTTCCTACAGTCTTTCAGGAGAGGAGAGTCCATATGTACTTTATTAGCTCATGTGCTTGAGGGAAGACTGTCTTGGTGCAGAAAGGAGATACTGCCCTTGCTTTGGTTTTCTTTACTTTTTGTCATTAGCAAATCATATTTCAGGCATCTCTGGTAAAGTTGGTTACTCTGCTATTGAATCTCTTTTGTGGCTCTTCACTAACACTTTTACTTTTCAGATCTTTGGCAATGATTCTCTTTGAGATTTCTCCAATGTAATGTTTTGAACTATCAACCCTAACCCTTTAGGGTGCTCTTTTAATATGACAATTAAGTGTGATTTTCTTGTCTGTTTTTAATGCAAGTTCCTGTTCCTGTACCTCTTCAATATCACACCTATTATAGCCACAGTTGTGTATCTTAAAACATTAGAATTTTAAGTTACAAAAATTGCATTACGGAGCCCTGTATTGGAGTTTCTATATCCTAAAGTCTGATTTGCTAGAATACATGAATGAAAAGGTGAATTTGGCATTGCCAGCCCCTGCATCCCCAATTCAAGGAACCAATAGATTTCACATATTGGATCTTAGGCTTTGATTATGCAAATGGTTGCTATGTACAGCTGCACGAGGAAGAGGTAAAGGACCAAAAGAACTTGTATAAACTCCCTCGCCACGTTACTGCAAAGTGTGATACATGCTACTGTGGAACACACGACATGATCATGACCATGTAGCCAGCCAAGCATCCAATTCAGATGGAGGCTATGCACAAAAATGTAGCCTTATGCATGTGAATACTTGCATTGAACTAAATAGAGTAGCAAACAAAAAAGAACTACTGTCACACGTGTTTGTAGGAACAAAGCCCAGATTAGCAGGTCCCTGCAAGTGAAAAGATACATCTATGTCACTCCACAGTCATTACGCTGGTTTGACAGTGTTAACAGAAATAAAAAAACAGTACATGATATTTTTTCTTCTGCCTAGTACACTAGAGGAACAGGCCCAGTGTTTAAGAAAATACTATTTAACAGTTCTAATTCAAAACAGGACTTTAAAAAAGTTAAACAGCACATAGGCATGTCCTGCATATCAATATACACAAAAACTTTCCTTGTATACATAGGGCCAAAAAGGACGGCCTGGTGTAACAGGATACAGAGGGCCACGTGGACCCAAAGTAAGTAATGTGTTTTTTTTTTTTTTTCATAGTGCTGGCAAAGTCGTTCTGTGGTTATTAAGTTAATCTTTTAAAGCACAAGGTGATGGAAGAAATAACAGCATTTGTGCTGTGAAATTTAATCAGCACCTAAATTGGTGTGAAAGCAAAAATATTTCAAAACACTTTGGAAAACCTTTCTGAGTCTGTTTTATACATACCTATTGAATGTTGCCTGGTAGCAAAAGGTCAGTGGTGTTTCCAGTTGGGCTATTGGCACGTAATGGACTGGGACTGTGAAGAAAATGGAAGCACAGGTTATTTTTTCTTAAGGAGAGAAATAGGGAAGATCCATATGTGTTCTTAACGCGGCATGATCTATCTATGTTTCCCTAAGTATGTTCGGGAAAGACTGCAAATTCACATGGATATCCTGGAGAGTAGAGAAGGCAGAGCCACCTGTTTGGAGAAGGAGTTGCTCTTTGCCATCTATTCTACATTTTTTTTCTGTCAGCATGATGAATTTAAACATTGATATGCTAGTTAGGAGTTCCTGGATGCTGAGCAGAAGCAGCCACAAAAAAAGATACTGGGGTCTTTATTGCTGATAGATTTAGAGGAGGAAAATCCACAGGCAGGAAACTACCAGATCTCAGAAAAATTGAAGATAATTGGAGACAAAAAAAATGAGTCTAGTTTATGTTAAAAACTTACTTAGATTTGTAGGCAGGAGAGAAGAAATGAGACGTCTGACCATTGCATTTCTGAGTACTAAGAAATTAATTTTCCATCATAAAAGGACCACTGCTACTTAGCACTGGACAAGGAGACAAAACCACTCTTCGTATATCAGATTTACTTTGAAAAAGATGGGCTTTGTGTGCTTTCTCTAGTACTAGCAGGAACTGAGAAATTGACTGATGCAGCTCAAAAGATGCTTGGACCTTTAAAAAAAATATAAAATTAAACTGCTGAAAGCACATTAAGCTTAGAGAGGAGACCATAGCAGGTTCCTTGACTAACTGAAGCTGCACAGGCACGGCTAGTGGTGCTGTATGAAGTAGGCCCCAGCGATTGGGCCTAGCAAGTGAAACAAGAGCCATTAACCTAATATATACATAACTTAATAAACATACACAAAAATAAATTAGTAGCATCTTGTTTAAACAAAGTACTTTGAATGCTACAGGGTACACTTGGGAGAGGAGAAAAAGGTGAAAAGGGCATTCCT